ATGACGACGACGACGACGACGACCATCACCACCAGCAGCAGCAGCAGCAGCAGCTGCTTCGCGTCTGCAAGGGTGCTCGTTTTTGAAAAAGCAGATCATAGATCTAGGCTCACTGCTCCCAATTCATGAGTGCGGGTAAAACCTAGGGCACGCTCAGTCGACTCTCTGCGCTCGCCGTGAATCTAGTTAGAACAGCTATTCAAATTAGATTTCCTACTGACATCAAATATGCAAATCCACTCAACATAACTTATTTGATTTTTTATCTCTGAGAATCACGATTTATTTTCATTTATAATCGCGCGTACTTGGGTCCTACGCGCAGTGCAACATTAACTGTATATAACCCTGAATTGGCCGTGATAACTTTTCCTTCTTATGTACTCGATTTGGAGAGATTTGAAGTAGCCATGATACTGTTCTCAACCTCAAATCTTGATAACCGACAAAGAGCACTAGACAGCTGTTTCTTCCTGCTCGGGACTCTTCGTGTCCCCGTCAGGACTCGAACCGCGAACCAGATTTTCATCGCCTGTTCTCTAATAACTTTGCAGTTCTTACGTGGACTGAAGTACAATACCTGAATCGGATTTTAATCGAGTTTATTTCCCGTCGGCTATGAAAGAGTTTTGTGATGCTCATGAAAACTCCTGCCCCTGTGTGAGAGTGGCGGCAATTGAAGATTTCTCATTCCATTTCTTCTTCTCGGGTTTTTGTGCCAGAGATTCATGTGGCCGTGAGATAACCAAAAGCCGGTAAACAGTCTGGTCCTGCAGTCGCAATCATGCACGGTGCAGAAATCACACGGTGAACAATTTTCACCACCCAATTCTGGGTTGTACACATTGCAGCTGGAATGAACCCTGATTGTTGGAGATCTGCTCTTAGCAAACTCATCCGCGAAAGAAAAAAAACAACACTTGCAGAATAACTGCCTTGACTTGAATTGACTTGCATGCACCTGTGAGTAGCTGAAAGATTTTGTCTTGTGCAGTGACGCTGATTTCGGAATCCAACGACCCTATCCAGTTGACTTACAATCACTCGGTACCGACTTGTGATCCCATTACATGCCCGATGAAAGGCGTGGCATCCGCATCATATAAATATGTCGGGTTATTTGTCTGACATTCCTGGATCACGCCAACGCTTACGGATTACTTAGTCGGGCAATACTCACTCAGTATTTTTCTGCTTGTGGCTTGGAGACTGATGCGTTAGATTTTCTTTCGGACTGTGTTTCTGACACGATCCAACCGGGTCTTTTCAGGAAGCTGTTCTTTCTCCCCTGCTTTCTTTGTTTTACATCGATGACCTTGGAGTCCCCCGCATTTCCATCACTTGCAGATTTACCGACGATTTCGTAAAGGCGTGGTATCCTTATCCAAATAAGGACTGCTTCTACCTTCTCCAAGATAGTTTGACAGACACTTTCAACTAGTCTTCAGCTGGTTCGCTTGTTCCGAATATCGCCAAATTTGTCAACATCCTGTTCCGTCTTGAATATGGCTCTCATGACTTTCCTATCTCCTCCATCTTACCGTCAAAAATATTTAAAAATTAAACAAAATTCGAACAGGTATTGTTATTGTTTCTTCTTTCCTTGTCTCGCCACAATGGGAGTATTTTTTAAGGGTTATGAGATTTTCTACCTACTGATGCTTAACATCTGGTTACACGAGCGCATTGCATCATCCTGGAGCGAATCACTGGTCGTTCCAATTTTTAAGAAGGGATCTCGCAATGACTGCGCCAACCACTGTGGAATAAGTTTGATCCCAATCGTCACCAAGTTACTAGTCTCCAGTATACTTCGACATCTGACGCCGTTTATGGAGACAAACATCGGCGAACAACAAGCAGGATTTCGACCAGGTCGCGGTTTTATCGATTAAATCTTCACCCTGCGTCAAGTCCTCGAGCTACGCCATCCGCACTATCGACCAACGGTTGTCGTGTTCCTGGACCTAAAAGGAGCCTTCGACTCAGTTGATCGTGAATCCCTTATGGGTTCACTTCTTCGCAAAGGAATGCCGCAGAAGTATGTGAATATACTGAGTTCCCTTTACTCACATACTTCTGGTAGCGTAAGGGTCTACAGCGAGCTGAGTAGGTCGTTCGTAACTAGCAGTGGTGTTCGTCAAGAGTGCTCTCTTCCGCCATTCCTGTTCAATTTCGTTATAGACGAAATACTGGAGAACACACTAAGAGCTCTTCAGAATGTAGGTATTGAATGGGCAGCTGGAGAAAAGCTGTGCGATTCCAAGTACGCTGATGACATCGTTTGCTTGTTCGAATGTATGGAGGATGTACCAAGAACACTAGGCGGGTTATCAAATTCTGTTGCTCCGTTCGACATGTGCTTCGCACCTTCAAAGAACAAAGTGATGCTACAAGACTGGGTGTCACCGAGTTCTGTTCTGAAACTAGACGGTCAGGAATTAGCTGAAGTTGACTGCTTCTTGAACTTGGATAGCTGCGTGACCAACGACAGCAGCCCATGGAAGGAGATAACCGTCCGCATTTCCAAGGCTTGAGCAGCGGACGCAGGAGTGAAACACCTGTGGCGGCGACGTGACGTGTTACTAAACTTGAAAAGTTGCGTATACTGCGCCACTGTACGATCAGTTCTGCTTTACGGTTATGAGACCTTGAATTTGCGGGTAGAAGACACCCATCGTTTAGCAGTGTTTGAAAATCGATGCTTACTTAGTCTGGCTCAAATGGGATGGAGTGAGCGGGTTAGTAACTTAGAAGTAAGTCGTCGGGTGTTTGAGAATACATCGAACAAGAACTCGCTATCTCATCGAATCCAGCTCAGTAGGCTCCGTTGTTTGGGACACGTTTTGCGTATGTCTGACGGTCGCCTACCGCAGCGCTCAGTGGCCGTTACAGGTTGGAGAAAGCCACGTGGAGGCCAGCAGATGACGTGGAGATGAGGCATAAAGAAAT